GAGCAAACTCAGGGAGGCAGTGAAGGACAGGAAGGCCTGGCGCAATATGGTTCATGGGGTCACGAAGAGTCGGACACGACTTAACGACTAAACAACAACAACAATAACCAGCACGTTGCCATCACCATTTTTGCAGCATCTCCAGGAGTGGCTAGGCCAGGAGAGGAGATGGAGCAATTTTATACCTGGTGAATGTTTCTCAGGATTGGCTGAAACTCTGGATAAGCAAAGCTATTGTTTCCACTTCAGACACCCTAAGCAAAACGGCCACCATCCCTGGGCAAACCAGACGCTGTTCTAGCAACACTTTCCTTTTTCCTCCTGGGGCCCAGAAGCAGCAGGCAACCGCTGTGTGTGAGAGGGAGGGGAGCTGAACGGCCTGAAGCTGAAGATGACCTTGTTGGGAGCAGAGGGGCCTGGCCAAAGGAGGAGGCAGCCAGCTGAGGCACCAAAATAGGAACTCAGCTCTCCATCTGTTCCTTCTATAGCCTACAGCTGGTCAGCTGCGAGGAGAATCTGAATCTCTTCTAAAGATAGTCAAAAGGGCTCTCGGGGAGAAAAGGACACAGAGCCGTTCCCCCCTTCCCTTCCCTTCCCTCCTAGAAAGACTCGTGGGAAGGCGAGAGCTTCCTAGTTGGTCCATCTTGCACCTCTTTCTCCTCACTTGGCTGAATAATAATAAGCGGACGCGCCCAGCAGCTTGCAGCCGAACATGCCGGCGCGCGCGCGGCGAAGCTGCTGAGCTCGAAGTTTACAAACTGCTCTAAAACACCGCGCCGGCCTCAAGCTTTCTCTCTTCTTTCAAAGCGTCCATGGATCACCGCGACTCTGACCGGGTTGGGAGGGAACGGAGCGGGGGGCGCAGAACGAAACGAGCTTTGCGCCTCCTGGCCCCGCGCGCCCCATTTCGCAGGCTCTTCCCCTTCATTCTCGCGCGCGGGCAAGAAAACGCCAAGGGCGCAGAGCAGCTCCGGAGGGACCAGCCGGGAAGGCGCTCCCATAATGCCCCACGACCAATCCTAGCCCGTGGGGGGCTTTTCTTCGGGCAATTGCCTTTTAGTGCCACGGTCCTCCCCCTCCTCCCCTTTGTGCTCAGGCTTTGGAAAGCTGCTCGAGCCCAGCTCGCCTCTGCCTGTCACCGTCTTCAGAGAGCAGGTGGGTGAGTCTTTAGGAAATTCGGGGTGGCCGAGCGACGCTTTGGATAAACGTGTGGAGGATCTGTTGACAATAAGTAGCAGTCGCTGAAGAACGAGGTCCGGCGGCTGACAGGACTATTTTTGTCTTGGGTTGTTGTGTTCCCAGGGCAAGGTAGCCGGGATTAGCCTTATCAGGGTTGACCCTAATTTCTAGGCTACCTCGATAGGAGCCATAAAACTGGCTGGCGACTTGTTCAGTATGTCGTGCGACCACCCCTGTATAAAAGGCTTTTTAAAAGACGGGTCTTTATCGTTTCGGATAACGGGCTTTCTATTCCCGAACGCAAATCCCCCACGTATCTACAGGACAGACGCCATCGGTTGATGGCATTTGTTCTTACTGATGCTGGTTAATTGTTCATGCCACTTTTTGAAACTTGGATAGTGAAAGTTCCAAATGTTGCTTTTCTGCTCTCAGAAATAACAAAATTTCTACAAAGAGGTTGCAGAAAAATACCATAGTGTGTTTGTGTTGCAATAAATCCCCTGTGCGATTAGCGATGTGATGATCTAGCCTTATATCCTCTTTCCTGAAAATAAGGCTACTGAAGTCAACAGGGCTTTGTTCTGAGATGCCTGGGAATATAGTGTTACTCCTAAGAAACAGTACAATCACATGCATGTTTACTTACAAGTAAAATGGACTGAACTATCTACTTCTAGGTAAATGCATAGCTAAATATACTTAGGATGGAAGTGTTAATTTGTTCTTTTCACAGTGCTGCCTAATAAATTGTGCAACCTTTGTCAACATTTATAGTTGTTTTAATTATTAGTTTTACAACCCCTTTTATAGTGTATTTTAATTGGCAGCACTTGGAGCTCCTTATCAGGATGATTGCTATATGTTACTCTGAGGTTTGTAGAATAATAATTGAATGAATAATGATGATTAAAAATGAGCAAATAAAATATGTTGACAATGATAAAAATGGAAAATACCCTTTTTGTCTGGGAAACCAATTGAAAATTAAAGTGCTTTTATGTTCTTGGCTTTTCTAGCTCTAATAGTGGTGTGTTTTAACAAAATCATAAAATGTTTTATTAATAAGTCCAATTAAATGGGATTTATATCAGTTTATTGTTCCATTCAGAGGAATTTAAATAAGATTATTATCTCTTGGTCTGCAAAAACCTGAATGAAGATGAGATGGCAGCAAGGAGATACTGTACAGAGAACTGTAATTGTTTGTTGCTATCTAGTAGTCTGGGCTTTTGCAGCCAGATGTGATAGACCAATTTAAATCAGATTAATTTGCACAGTATTGCACTGTAAGGCAATCAATCATTACATTGTATGCTCACATCCAATGTGTATTTGTTTATAATAAGAAATCTGCATAGATCATATATGTGCAAAATACCATATGCAGAATTCTTATTATAAACAAAGAAGAGGACTGCTCTTTCCTCCTGTCATGCAGGCTTTATTTAAGTAAGTTATGGAGGCCAGGTAATTGAAAATGTGAGATAATAAGAGAGCTGGGCTGGCATCAAATTCTGGAGCAGACGAGGCATTGCCTGGGAAAGCAAGAGAAAAGGTTAGAGTTGTTTGAAGCAGTGGAGACCTTTGGACAGCTGAGACCAGTGATGGTTAGGAATATGTTTAATAACCTAAACAGAGTTATTTCTGGATTGCTTTGTTTGAAGGAAATATATTTCTGTTGGTGGCTTTGCATTTTCTTCTTTCCCTGATGTGTTTATTGACTTGATATGCTGTATTTTTAAAATTGTTATCCTTTACATGAACATTAGAGGTAAATGATTTACAAAAAGACTCTGTCACTGAAATCAGAAGGTCTTATATCTGAATAGACATTGATAGGAATGAGTAGATGAACCTCACTGCCATGTTGTTTCTGATATTTTATTCCAGTGATGGCACTGACTGAGCAGGGAGAATATACCTATACATACAAAGACCTCTCTCATCCTATAGAGTTTTTGGATGCATTCAGGATGTTCTATCTTGAAGGGTTATTCACTGATATTACCCTTCAGTGTGCACCAGGTGTGCTGTTCCATTGCCATAAAGCTGTACTAGCTGCTTGTAGCAACTATTTCAAAGCCATGTTTACCTCTGACATGAAAGAAAAGTCAAAGGATCAGATTCATCTTTCTTTGTTCAGTCCTACAATACTGGAATCCCTGGTGATGTACACATACACATCAGAGATCCAGATAACAAAGCAAAATGTTCAAAGCCTCCTTCAAGCTGCCGATCATCTTCAGTTTACTTCTGTCAAAAAAGCCTGTGAGCAGTTTCTAATCAGGCATTTAGACCTTGACAACTGTTTAGGGATGCACTCCTTTGCAGAATACCATGTCTGTTCAGAGCTAGAGAAGGAATCCAGAAGGATATTGTTGTCCAGATTTGAAGAAGTGTGGAGACAGGAAGAATTTCTACAGATCAGCAACAAGAAACTCCAGTTCATCCTCTCCAGAAAGAATCTTGATATATGGAAAGAAGAGGCAATGATAGAGCCCATTGTCAAGTGGATTGCCTATGATGTGGACAGCAGGATTGAGTACATTTATGATCTGTTGAGGTGTCTTGAAACTGATTTAGATGAAATGTATTTGAAATCAGCCCTCAGCCTGTACAAGAAATGCCAGTTAAAGGAAAATAAGATCAGATCTCTAATACGCAGTGTGTTGGGTCCCAAGCCAAAAGCAGTTACAACAAGATCTACCACTATTATGTATGTGATCGGAGGCTATTACTGGCACCCTTTGTCTGAGGTGCATATATGGGATCCAGTAACCAATGTTTGGGTCCAGGGAACAGATATGCCAGATCACACAAGAGAAAGCTATGCAGTCACAAGCCTGGGACCCAACATTTATGTGACTGGAGGTTATAGAACAGACAATATAGAAGCCCTTGATTTAATGTGGATATACAACTGTGAAGCTGATGAGTGGACTGAAGGCTGCCCCATGCTTAATGCAAAATACTACCACTGTGCAGTTACCTTAAGTGGCTGTATCTATACTCTGGGAGGTTATCGAAAAGGGGCTCCAGCTGAAGAAGCAGAATTCTATGATCCTTTAAAAAAGAAATGGATCCCAATTGCAAACATGATTAAAGGTAATGTGCTTGCTGCCTAATTTGTTAATTCAGTTCTGCATGCCTTTTAAAATGAAACTGCACTATTTCCCACTTCTATTTTGGCCCCTTTGAGTAGGTACCTGATAGGATATTAAGGTCTGCTTAGAACAGGTGGCCCAATCATTTGGGATCAGTAGTCGCATTTGACATTTTGAAAATTATGTGGACAACCTCAGAGAATGGGTGCCACATTAGGTGTGGCCAGTCAGAAGGCACCCTTTCCAAGTTCCTAGTGTGTTCTCTACTGCCTCAGCTTATTTTAAGGTTTTTTTTGGCAGTGAGGCATATTGTCAAACCAAAATTCAGTCACCCACTGTCTTATTTTTAAATAATGTTTATGCGGTGCATGTGGGTCCAGGGCAGTTTTACTGTAGTGGTAAATATGATGCTTTGGCCTGGCACAACTCTTTGCAGAATATGGCATTTATTAGTATTTTAATTAAAAGTCTCAAAATCATATACTATAGGTTATAGAATCTGGGAGAGGCAAAAATGGTGTGCATGATGACTGACTTCGGACTTAAGAATTAATCTCTGTGCCTCATTTTAGGCGTTATGGTGCAGAGATAGAGAGTCTCTGACCCCTATAACTTCTCTGTATGTTTTCCCTTTGCCAAATGCAAAATGGTTGAAACATGCAAGAACTGCATGTAACCCTGACTCTACTGGGAACACTGAGGTCTTTTGCAGAGGAACAAGCTCCAACTCAACCTTATCAAGACCAAGTGACTGTGGGTTTTAGGTCCCGTCAGATCTTGAGACCTTCCATCATTAACTCTAGATAGGTTACCACTCCCCCCAGTCTGAATTGATGCATGATCTGGGGGATCTCTTGAACTCATGGCTCCTGCTCAAGGAGCAGGTAGTAGCCATGTCCAGAAGGGCTTTAGCACAAATCTACCTTGTGTGTCTGTCGTGCCTGTTTGGGAGGTTCTGTTCATGGTCACGCATGCCTTAATAACTTATCAGTTGGACTATTGTAACACGTTCTACATGGGGCTGCCCTTGAAAAGCATTTGGAGGCTGTAGCTGGTCCAGAAAGCAGTAAGGGAAGCAGTTTTGAGTGCACCATGGTATATCCACATAACAGCACTGCTGTGCGAGCTGCATGACTTCCAGTAGGTTTCCAGGTGCATTTCAAGGTGCCAGTTATCCCTTTAAAGTTCTGCCTGGTATAGAGCCAGGATACTCGTAGGACTGCCTTTATCCAGTGGTTTCTACCCATCCCACCAGATCTGGTAGGGTAGGCACGCTGCAGGTCCCCTCTGTGAAACAGTGTCATCTTTTGCGACCCAGGAGGCATGTCTTCTCTGTTGCTGCACCTGCATGGTGGAACAGCCTCTCCTTTAAGCCTTGGATGGCCCCAACCTGTCAGCTTTCCGGAAACCTGGCTCTTCCCTCACTTTTTAGGGTGAGAATGCTAGTGGGGCCCAGGCTGTGTGTTTTGTTCTGCATTGTTTGACAGCTTTGGTGAGGAGGAAGTTATTTTTACCAGGAACTTTTATTGTTTTTCTTTAGAATTTATGTATGTATGTTTCTGTATTATGCCTCATTAGCTGCTCACAGTTATTTGATTAAGATGGGCAGCCATATGCGCTTGCAAAAATAAATAGATAAACCAACAAATAAAATATGCACTTGCAATTAATCATCTCATGCCTTTTTTAAAGAAGAAGGAAACATGGTGGCTGAAACAGTATTTCTACAGAGAAAGATTGGGACTGCACCACTCTGCTGTTGTAGATGGAGGAAGATCCATTGAGCTATACATTCATTCTCTAGGGCAGGGTTCCTCAACCTTGGCAACTTTAAGATGGGTGGACTTCAACTCCCAGAAAACCCTTCTGGCTTGGGTATTTTTGGGGTTGAAATCCACCCACCTTTAAGATTCCCAGGTTGAGGAACCCTG